TGACCATAATGGCAGCAATAACAACAGCAAAAAATTGCTCATTGGTAATTCTGGTGATATTCTCCCGAGACTCCAAAGCTTCGCGAGGAAAGGAATGCAGAGCAACCGGTGGCAATAACGATCAGCAATGATGCGAACGGCAAAGAATCCTCAGAAGCCTCATCGAAGGGGTACGCATATAAATATACCACTGTGTTACCGCATACAGCGATGGCTAGACGCGGAAGCAGCGAAGTTCGAAAAAGCGGCGAACATAGGGGATCAGAAAACAATATATTGCATAAAGGCTGCAATTATGAATGGCATAGTGGAATAAAGAAAATGGCCACAAGCGTGCCACACAAAGAGAAAGGCAAATTCCTGCCGGCCGGACGCTGCAAGCCGTCGAAAGCAATGGACTGGATATTTTGAAAACTTAATGAACTAAACCGGTCACGTGGTTGAAAGTGTTTCGTTTGCGATCGAAATTCCTGATCAGCGCAGAAACGTCTCGTGCGCAGATGCGAGAGCCAAAGAAATTCAGCACGCTTTAAGGATGTGTCAGAGTTCACGATGTGTGGGCAGGATGGACCGAGTGCGATACTGGCGAAGTGCAGAAGCGGTTTTCGCACATATGCTCATCAAGAAGATCTGAAAGGCAGGTGCGATTCCAGAAGCTCAGAAGAATGAGTGATCATACTCCATTTTCAAACGTGTATATCACTCAGACTGTACGAACAATCGAGATCACTCTGTTGCCTGTTCTAAAGAACTCGGATCATGGTCAACAGACTAATGAAGAGGGTGAAAGAGTCACTGAAAAGAAAAACATTTCAAACTATTCCACACTGGACATTCGTGCATTTATAACATCTTCGTTTTTCGACGAATGGCCGAGGAATGTTGGACGCTACAGATCCCCTGACACTCGACCACGATTTAGTCGACCGCTAAACACTCTGGCGGATGCTACGTCACTACGGCATCTCAAAGAAGATCGTCAGCCTGATGGAAAGATTGTACAAAAGACATATCTTGTGCAGTTAAAAGTGAATACGATCCGTCTGACCGGTTCAAAGTTTGAAATGTTCCGTCACAGCAAGGTACCTGCACGAGACTACCGTTCAACATCGTGGTTGACTCGTAATGTGGAATAGCGTCTTTGCAAAAGAAGAACAAGGCTTTACTATCAAATCAAGAAGAAGATGCAGATTCTGGCCATCCACTTCACTGACTTGGAGTAGGCGGACGATATCGTTCTGTTGAGCCCACACCGGAAGTGGCCCACGAGACCTCGCTGTAGTATGAGCGGAAAGGCAGCAGATGTTAAGCTACCAGTCTCCGAGACGAAGACAAAGGGTATGAGAGCAGTAGTTTCGAAGGAAGCCACAGAAATCAAGTGTAATCGCTCCACCGTCAAAAAAGTCGCCCATTTCAAATATCTGGGTTCAGTCGTGGCTAGCAATGGTAGCTGTGATCCGGATACCAACAGACGCATAGGATTAGGGCATAAACGTTTCGACAGCTGAACGGGGTGTGAAAAGAGAGAACAGTTCCACTGAAGACAAAGATCACCATCTTGGCAGCAGCGGCTTTTCCTATACTCCTGTATGACCTGGACACAACTGCGGTCGAAAATGAACTGGGTCGCCTCCAAAGGTGTTGCGATTGAAACTTCCTGAAAGTTCGACAGCACCATCGAGTTTCGAACGCCTATTCAGAACCACCTGACTGAAGGAAATCTCTAAAGAACTAGGGCATCGGGGGCTGTCGTGGTTCAACAGTATGACTCGAGAAAAACAACATGGGAACCGAAGAATGGGCAAAGAAGCTGAGGCCAGTTCAGTGGTTGGTGGAACAACGTAAAAAAAGATTTATTTCAACTACAATTATATCTTCTGCCGAATTAGGGAATGCTTACAATAGTCCAAAAATTTCATTCTGCACGTCAAACATAATCAGTTTTGGATAAATGGGACAGCAATGGTTCGTAACCTTAAACGACGATGACAACACGACACAATAATAATATCAATATTAACAAAAGTCTTAATAGTGTAGCGCAGCATTAGTGTAATACAATAGTATCACTGGTAATAGATAGTAGTAGTACTTCAAGCGTTTGTAACTCTGGTAGGGCATCGCCGGCAACAAGGGTGCTAATATGAATATTATTACAAATATAAACGATTATCATGGTAATAACGATGTAATAGCGATGGTATAAATAACAGTCACTAGCGAATGTAGTGATGATATAGCCACTGTCGTTGCAACAATTATTAGTAATACCAATGTGACTACTACCAAAAGCTGATTTGGGCAGTGAAATGATGCGAGATGCATCTGGTACAGCAGACACAAATGCTATGCAGCCCTACCCTTTAAATATGAACCTCTACCTAACCAAGAGCAAGAAAACGGTGCAATATGCCATGAAAGCTGGTATAGTAGGAGGCAATCACCTGATTACCAGGTGAGGTCGCAAGAGTGCCACTAATAATAATAGAAACTTGAATCATTAAGCCTACGCACACCCACATGCTTTAGTAGTTTTGCTCATGCTACCTTTTAAAACAGTAATACTTTTATAGCGATTACTATCAAACGTAGCAGTACCGTCATCACCATTACTGCTGATAGAAGTGACACTGATAAAATTTCAGACAGTCACCAAAACCTACGCTATTTCTATTATCATAGGCAATATTAAAGTAAATAATATTGTAAGTACAATCAGGTGTTGCCTTAGCCTACAACTACTTCAGTTATTACTTCTACCATATTATGACTACTTTGCTAGTAGAAACAGTGGTACACTTACTACATGAAATTTGCTCACACTGTATCAGTTGCAACTATTGTAACATTACATTAGCATATATACGTACCAAACGGCAGTTGACGAGAGCGCCACAAAAGTCACCATCGTTCCCGTGTATTTGGTCCGCCATTTGGTACAGACATGTAAAGTCGAGTAAACAAGTAGAAATGAAATGATGTTATACAGTAGCAAAGATGAATGATTGCGATACAGCACAAACGTTCCCAAAACACCTGAACATACTTGTAGGATCTTCGGAGGTAAAGGCCCTAAAAAAGAATATAACTACGCAATTTTAAAGAACTGTTAAAGTTTCAACCAATCGCTGACTTGAAAGCATGCTCTTTACAAAAAAGTTATCAAATTAAGCCTCCCGTTTGCTATTTTGCACGGTCATACACTTTGAGAGTTTGTTAGAAAAACCACAAAGATAGGCAATAGGTGGATCTGTAACAGTTTATATTCCAACAGTTACCCAAGAGCAGGTGTAACTTATTGAATTCCCGGTATTCATCCGATGCATCGGATCTCCGCGAAATGGTTGATAGGCCGCGCACGTGATGATCGTGTGTGCCTGTGAGCTGCCTACGATCTACGATCGCATGAGCCTATTATCTAGTGGAAGGACGGATCTATGCTGTGAATCTGTAGAGGACCGAAAATACTTATTAGTCGTATACATGGTCAAAGAAGATCAGCTTCAAAAGCATCACCTGCTCAGATGACCTGAACGACTACCGAACGTTATCAACACCCATATCATGAAGAAGATTCGTAAAATACGAGCCGAAGCCCAGAAGACACCGGTTAATCATTTGATTGGCCACCTTCTGCTCTGTGTTTTGTAAAAAACAAATGATTTTCTTACGATTTTTCACCCATTGTCCGAAAAGCTTTATGGCCAGTTGTTCAACACCAGCTGCATTAATAGACCACTAGGAGATGAAAATAAAAATGAGGTTAATGTGAGGTCATTCTGCTGTTTCATATGTAGCACTTGATTCTAGTTGCGCAGCTGAGTTCAAAATAATAATTTGGCTGCGGCACTCTTTCTATTCCTCAAAGCTGCAACATGAACGAAACACAGCAGAAATATGGCTTAAGCCATACCGGTGAAAATAAGTTTTTCATCGGATGGCAGAAAACTACCAGTTTCGATTCCAAATGAACTTTATCTTTAATTTACGTCTACAACTTATACTAATTTAGTGAGCTTTTAGTTAGCAGGTGGGCCAATGCATACTGTAGCCGTAAAACGCCCCCATTAAACAGTTTGGCCGTATATCCCACACACATTGGTATAACCGTACTAAAGCACCATGTTGCCATGACTGTTCGTAGGTCAGCTACTGACCTGCTATTCGTTTTTAGGCTGGATGCACCGAAATAATTGGGTGAATTCTTCGCTTGCAGTAATTAGCCATTAATAAGAGAAAATTCACGGCATGCATCGTGCTTGAACCCGGCCTTCGAACTTGCAAAGCAACTTACTAACCATGTACCCACCTGCCACCCCCTCCGATTTCACAAATTTTGAAGGCCATGGTGGCGGTACGGTTGCTTTTGATATTATCTGCAACAGCTGGAGACAAAACATTTTCAGCCCTACGGGACACTCTGGGTCAAAGCCTCTATTTTAAAACCTTCCTGACACAGGTGTGACAAGGCTCATCCAACTCGACCACAGATTACATCTATCCTTGGTCGCGGCTGATAGCGTCGAAGAAATGGAAGATTAATACCACTTGATTAATTTCTTTCGAAGGTGATGCCGGTATATTCTGAAAATCAGAGGGGGTTCTTTTCTTATATATGCCTGCTGCACAATTTCAAAGCTCTTTACATACAGGAGCTTGACTTCGTCTGCATGGCGGGGGAGAAAAGGGGGCGTTTTTAACTAGCGTGTCCCTTTCGAACGTGTCACCGTCTCATTATATGTATACATAGCGGTGACCTTCACAAATATTTCCATATATTTCTGAAAGAAAGAGAATGGTACCATTTTGCGTAAACGTTCAGAAAAATATGGCATATAAAGTACATGATTTCAACATATTTTAATATTTAGTTGAGTAAAACTGAACTTCAGAAAATTAATCGAATCCTGTATCCTGTAATTTGTGTGCAGGACTCACCGTATTTCTTATGAGCATTTAAAGTAGCTTACATAATGAAATAAACCGACGGCTCGATCATTATGCCTGATCATGTCTAAAGTGGTATCAAAACTTTTTCAATAAACAAGATGCAAGATTCGTTCAACAGTACAGCAACCAGAACACTTACTCATGCAAGAGAGCAAATGAAGAAGGAACGTGGCGACGTATAGCTCGGCTATCCTGAGAGCAGTTTCACCCAGGAAGATGGCTTTTGAGCATTGAACGAGGTGCTGCTGAAAGCTGCCAACAGAGTAATCATATCTGAGCAACATGCTGTCATCGAAGACGTCGAATTCCAAGTAGTCAGCGTCATCGTCGTATTCCGATTGTCCTCGCGAGGCGACGTCCATCTGGTCGACCAAATCGAGTATCAAATCCACAGCCGAAAAACCAAGCTTTTCATCCACAGGTTTGGCCGTGGCAGTAATTCAGCATGACATCTGGTAGTCGAGCTATGTTGCTGTTACCTTCCTTCCCTTTGCGAAACTATAAAAACAACGGGCTGCTGCAAAGATTGTACAGGTAACTTACCACTGCGGTAGGAGCTATTTCAATAAACGCAAAGACGACGATCTCTATCGTTTGGAATGCCAACTTGACAGACTGCAGGTGCACGTGTACTTCAGTGCAACTGCAGACTTGATGGCTGAGCATCCAAAATGAGTTTTTGGTAGAGTCTCCCATGCCAGAAAGAACGAAAGGCAGATGAAGCAAAGAGAATCCCATTACTTATGGTATATTAGTCAGGTGACATAAATATTATCATATCGCGTCGCCTTCCAAGCGAGTTAACAAAGAATACGGTCGAACGTTCAGCAGCAGTATTTGTCCGCAGAATAGGCAACAATCTCACCCAGCTGTTCATAAACAGCAGCCAACGAAGTTCCACAATTTCAGAACATACAAAAGATGATTCCTTCAATCTTCATTACAAATAGCACAGGGCTTTGGCATTCTTACATGCATATAGCACGGTGCAATATATAATCAAATATGATCTTGGAGAAGTTATGTCACATGCGTATGTCATATGCGTTATGTCACATATTGTAACGTACGACATATTCTGATGTCTATGAGGTAGTAGATGCGAAGTATCAGCTCTTGCAACATCGTACATCACACACGCGGTGGCTCTAGCGGATAAAATGAGGTGAAATGCACCTCGCACTGCAGGTACTTAAATACCACGGAACCGTGCATTGCATAAATGGCTTCTGCCCCGTCGTGACAACTGGTCTTCAAGTAAGTTATGCGCCATTAATCATAAACAAGCATACATACAACGTATTACAACAAGTAAAATTTATGTACTTGAAACAGAAAGCAAGAATCGTCCATTTATGCACGAGACCGACGCCAACTTGATGGATTACCACTGATTTTCTATACCCCGATTAGTTCTTGACGCTAGAATGATCCAGTTCAATTCAATCTACATAATCGTCTAACCTCAAGAAAACACATGTATCCATTACTGACAAATCAGTATATCTCTGAAAGAACTAGTAACCCAAAAGACATGTACAATATGACTATAGCCATGATGTCAACAGTTCTTTTCTTTACCCTAAGATCAATAAGATACTTGACTCTGAACGGGATTACCGATCTTCTAAACGTCTCGACGCGACACCGGCATCGGATACACGTTTTGGTCTGATTTGCAATGTAATTACACACCGCTGAAAATGAATGCAAAGGATGAATGAAGTAAACATTAATCACCTAATCGACATCAACTATTTTTGATATGAATTGTTTATCCAAAAAAGCACCCAACGTTAACTCTTAATCGTGGCGGTGATTTCACCAGGCCGCTGATTCGCAACAGTTGCTTTCGACGGAAAATCAGATAGAGAGTAGAAGAGAGCGGCAGAGAAATACGAGTACGACTCGAGACTTAGCGAAGTTTGGCTGATTCATTGCCCTTTCAGCATGGATTTGCATAATCTGTACTCAAGAAGTCCTCATGTTAATCCTTCTTCCTATAGTAAATGTCTTTTAAAGGGATTAGAATGCTTCTATCTTAACTTTTCATAGTTCAAGCAAAACCCAACTATCACCCTAGCAGATGCGGATACTGCCAAAAAAAACTGTTTTTCTATCTATAGCCAGAGAACAGTTCAAATAAACCTAGCTGCGAGCCATCTGACACGTCCCTATGATTTAGGTGACAGTTCAAAGGTTCAAGTTTGTAAGCCAACTGTAACGAATATGCAGTTTTAGAGGCGGCGGTGGCCAGTATCAGGGCGTGACTAGAGACGAGTCTTGAAAATCCCTCGCCTGTAAAATGGCTATATACATTACCGCATGATGAGGCGAATAACTCGTCAGTTATAGTGTCCTCTAGCACCGCTGCCTTGTGCTAAAGCCTGGGAATGACAAAGACTAGAACAGACAGGTTCTATAATAAATCAAGTAGCAATTGGAGATCCATTTGTATCAACCAATCATATAAAAATTAGCCTCAATAATCTTCAGCAGCGATCCGTGACGTCGTTGAGACCGATTAAGCCACCGGCAACTTTCCAGAGAGGGCAAGAGCATCACGACGAATGGTACTTGAACAATCTTCTTTCTGTAGTGCAAGCCCGTACGAACCACTATGCATGGGACATTTGAAGCTGACAACCGGACGGGACAGTCAACTGAAAGGGTACTGCATTCAGCAGAGACTTCAGCAGCCTGACAAGAACGGGCCAACCAATGTTTGCAGTATTCACAGTACGATTTCCAGTTAACTTCCACCAGACGTGAGAAAGCAACCGGCAAACGAAAATATCATAGTCCAGCTTAGCATCTGTCAAACAACAGCCAACTTTTCGGACAATGGAAGGACTCTCCACCTACGAACTGAAATCGTTCTTGATATCACTTCTGCATCTGCATGCTATCGAATTTAATATCATCGTTCGTCCTACGACCTATAGTGAAACGGGAGGGAGGGGGTGGGTTCGGCGGCGCAATGAGTAATGTCTGATTTGAACTTTGGCTGTGCCAAGTTCGACGCATGCCAATCCAACGTACGCAAAATTTTTCTCAATAGCTGCTTATAACTGTCTGAACAAATAATTCAGCATATGCTGCTTTGGATGAAGAAGCTGGGATGCAGGTAGCAAGTCTTGCGAACAATGGGGACAACATGATTTTCCGCATTTGTCATACCAGGATCAGATCGGAGA